ATATCCTCATAGCATTTCTTGGCTTTCTGAATGTAACTATGTGATCTGTTACGCATTGTATAATTAAATAATGTGTTTATTACATTGCAAAGTATTATTATGAAGTGTTCCAATGTAATATTTAGATTTCTTTTTCATAAATGACCATTCAGTGTAGTTGCTGCAGCTAATTCCAGGTTCATTTCAGGGTCATTAATATCAGCAAAATGATTCCTGTCAATTTATGTAGTCTTTCTAAAATGTACATATTTTGTAATATATTGCTGTTACTTAAATTATTTTATAAATTAACAAGAAAAATAGAGCACTTGATCGCTCCCGGATATATTTCCAACATTAAACATGAAAAATATCAAAGGTGTACTCTGCATTTTTATTTACTTTTATTTAATTTATTTTAAAATTTTAATTGTCAATTATTTGTTTTAAAATTTTTATCATTTGAAGGATTTTACTGGTGATTTTGAAGTTTTGATATGCCTGCATCTTATGATGTCAAAACATACCAGCCTATTGTCTTATAATATTGAATCATGATATTAAACAATGAAGTCATTCAACCTCGTTAAGGTTTAAATTAATTTAGCCTCTATGTAAGATCGTCATACTCGTTCGGTTGAATCTATTTTGAGTTGTAACATTAACTTAAATGTCCCAAGCTGAAGGTAACAGGCATCTATGGCACGCAAGGATGGCCAGCCACCAAATGTCCTCATTAAACCCATTGAATTAAGAGCCCTCTGTATTCCACCACCAGCCTTGACCAGTCAAGCCAGCAGCTCTCCCAGATTTACGAGTATTAACGGAGTGTAAAGTATGACTGGCCCTGAAATAGCCCTGGCCTTGCCGGTTAGTTCCAGCTGGCAGGGCAGGACTCAGGATTGGCTGCAATGAAACCCGCTGTATCTGTCTCATGATCTGAAGTAGAAGGTTGGTCAGGGGAAAATATTGCAAAGCTGTAAGCAACATGACAGCTATCATAATGTTACAGGCTGTGAGGGTTTTCCCCTCGAATGAGGCGTTGGGTTGCATCGCATTTAGTGGCCGGGTTTAATTTGTGAGTGTGAATGCGTGTGATCTTGGCAGTTATCCATCGGTAGAGTGCTCCCAAGTTCCTCTGCAGCGTTTCCATCTCGCACAGCGTGCTGTCTGTCAGAACCGGCTCTCTGATCTTTCCATTTAACACACTGCCACCTTTGACCTCATCACAGACACAAGTTAACTTATGTACTCAAACTCTCAAATGACTCGGAATGACCAGTGACCTGCACAGCACACATCTGGGAAACAATGCAAATGTTAAGAAACATTTCCCATTTGTGTCAGTGTTAAAAACAGTTGTGCTGCTTAATATTTTTGTCAAAACTGTGATAACATTTTCTTTTTCAGAATTCTTTGATGAATTAAAAGTTCAAAAGAACATAATCATCATTTTTATAGGAATGCATCAGTGTTGTTTCTGATAACAATAATAATACTTCTTGTAAAAAACAAAGCTAAATCCTCTGTGTTGGCGGCTACACACTTGAAGTAATTGTCTGATAAGTTATGGTATTAAGAGCAGGGCACTTCAAAGAGATGCATTGCTCTCCTCTTAGTGAGCCAGACTGTAACCAGATAGCTCTGTCTACAGTGTTGTTTTAATAGGATCTCAGATGTAGAGATGATGCAGTTTCATTGTGTTTTTTATTAGACCTGATGCCTGACTCCTTTAGCAGAGAGAAAAAAAATCACAATTGAAATGTTTTCTTGACACATTCATCGCTTCATTTGCATATGAACATACTCTGAAGTACATAACAACTACAAATGTGTCATTAGTTTCCATCAAAGGGAGGCACAGAGAATGTGATTATAGCATCTTGCCATCTGGGAATTATCCCAGAGGAACCTTTTATTGCTCAGAGGCCTCGAGAGACTTAATGGAAGCTTCATTTAAACATCAAATTCCTTAAGAAAAATACAATGAGATATAAATTATACAATATAATGTGCACAATAGAGTTTATTGCTGTATAAAATTCTAAGTGTGGATAGCATAGCTCAGATAGTGGTCATTGTATTGAAATCAATCAGTCAGCAGCTCTATCTATCTATCTGTCTATCTGTCTATCTGTCTGTCTGTCTGTCTGTCTGTCTGTCTATCTATCTATCTATCTATCTTTGCATCCTAGAAAGCAAAGTCCTTATGATCATTTTAAAATATTCAGGTTTAAGTGATGATGTCTGGAGTAAAACAGAGGCAAATGCTGGTAAGATACACAACTAAAGCTAAACTATAGGATTAAAGATGAAGAAAGAAGTAAGAGCTTTACTGACATTCCTTTGAATATCCAGATATGGAGCCATTCTGACTGGAGCTGAGGAAACACTTCCTCTAGCTGCCAGACAAATGCTGTTGCCAATCACACCATCTGACCATGTGATCAAATATGATACTGTTATTGCTGATGGAAAAAGTGCAGCCAATGGCTGGTCTTGGCAAGCAAAAGAAGGGTGAAGAAAAAACAAGTGGGTGGACGAAAAGCATGTCTTTCCATTGTTTTTCTTTAGACTGCTTTTTTAAAGATTTCATATATATTCAATACCGATGGAAAATCGATGAAAAAAGGTGCAAAATACGAAGGGGAATTTGAATTGCATATTTACTCCTAACAAACTTGTAAGAGAAAATAAAACTGACAGCCTGCACAGTGAAAGAAACATTAACGCTCACCCTCTGCCCTACACTTAACACAGTCCCTGACCCTTGACAACAGCCCTCAGAAAAGCCCCGAAGTTCCCCTGAGACACCGTACCGTTCCCAAATCTCAGAGCAGGTTTGTGCGCTCACTCATCACAGCCATTTCGGGACCCTTGCGCGTTCACCATATGCTTACGCAATCTGAGTTGGACTCAGTTATCGACTGCTGTCAGGTTTTCTCGTTGTCCATGTTGTTAACAGTCAATTGTCTTTGATCTGTACGACAGCTAAACAGGATTATCCTTGGCCAATATCTTCTTCAGCTGTGCGCAATACAAACTACCCTGGCTATTCATGTTTTCTTAGGTGTGCACGGTTCCCAGACACTGGAGAGGCCAAACGTTTTAGCACGTTGTGAGAAATATCCGCATTGTATCTTTATTAGCTGTCAACACTGATGGCTCGAGTAATGACCTCTATACAGCAATAGATGTTTTTTTTAAAGACACTTCATCAGTGTTACGGTTATAAAAAATCCTGTGTGTGTGTGTGTGTGTGTGTTTTTATTGCGTAACTGCTTTTATGCACCATTTGTAAGTGCTAATAAATTTAATTAAGTGTTTAATTTGAAAATGTTATCCAACAGGTTGCTATGAAAAAAAATATAGGCTACTCAAATTTCAAATATCCCCAAAAATACAGTATCTAGCTGCTGAAATGCTAAGTAATACAGTATGTAGCAGGCATGTGATCATGGCCTTGATCAGCCTCTAAAAGAATTAGTAAAAATTCCAATGGTGTGGATTTCTGATTGTGTGTGATAAATGATTTTTCAGTTTTCAGAGAAAAAGTTATGTCAATTATTTGCAGTTATTATTGTTAATTTTACACACACACACACACACACACACACACACAGGTTTCCATGTTTTATAGGGGCATTCCATATGGGCATAATGATTTTTCTATAGTACAAACTGAATTTTCTCTCCCCTTACCCTAACCCTACCCCTAAACACCTCACTGAAAACTTTCTGTATGATTTATAAGCTTGTTTCCTCATGGGGACCAAAAATGTCCCCACAAATTTACTGGTATTACTATACTTGTGGGGACATTTGGTCCCCATAACGTAGTGAATACCAGTACACACACATTATTATTTCAGGTCTTTGGGAAAAATTACAAATTTGAATGCTTGCTACAATTTCTTTTAATTGCTTTTTACATTTTCTTTCTAATTCAAATTCATTCTATTGACAAAATAATTTTTACTAATCATTTATTACAGAGGGGTAGTTAAAAAGTGTTGACAGGGGACAAGCCCAAAATAGAGAAAGTCCTAAAAATAAAGTAAAAATAATTAAAGAAACTACAATCATTTATTTACAATGAATTAAATTTACACCCTTCAAAAACAGAATGATTGTTCTTTTAAAACCATCCTACGGGATAGAAAACTTACCATAATTGAAGAACAATACATACACATATATTAAAACCTACATATAAATGTTACAAAAACAATGTAGCAGAGAACTTGCCACACAGTTGCTAATGAGCTACTTAGAGATTTAATGAGCTTTAACGTAACTAACGCGGACACGCTACTTCTGACACCTTCATCCCCAGTCCGGATCTTGAGTTGTGTATCTGCGTGAGTGTATGCCTCGGAAATGCTACACCAGCCCTTACAGCTGGACCGCATCTGCAACGCTGCTCTTTCCTCAAGCGTAAAATTAGCCAGCGAACTCTTAAACATGGAGTCATTCTTGACCGCTGCGTTTTAAGATAATAGAAGTTACATTTATTGGTTTGGTTCTGTATTTGAATGCATTTTTACTAAAATGAAACTCATCTCTTCAACTTTCAGGGGGCCCATGCATATGTATATCTGGGGGACTTAACTATATATGCAATCAAGACTTTTAATAATCAATACAAATACTTGGACACAGTTGAAGACAAAATATGAATGGCTACAGCTAAAAATCTCTACGTTTTACGGTTAAAGTACAAAAAACCCCTGAAGTAAGTAAAGTAAAGCAAGAGTTTCTTCACATGAATGTTTATTGATGATAATTCCCTCTTGTAATGACCGTCTCACTGTTGAACGGAGTGAGAAACCACCCCTCCACACAGATGTGGGAAACTCAGTAGGGGTGTTGGGTTTGGGTGGGGAAGGGGGGTCGCTGAGCCCTGCTTTGGCCAATGGGGCACGGTCATTAGGGCTGACCAGTGTGGGCCCCGGCATATAAGAAGGGCCGTATGGTTGCCCCCTCACAGATCTCCTACAACCACACAAATCCAACCAATCATGGACGTATTCTCTACATCCCAGATCTTCTACGATAGCACTTGCGCCTCGTCGCCTGAAGCTTTGGAGTTCGGCCCCGGAGGGGAACTGGCCGGGTCTGAAGAGGACGAGCACGTTCGGGCCCCCGGGGCCCCGCACCAGCCAGGTCACTGTCTGCAATGGGCCTGCAAAGCTTGTAAGCGCAAATCCAGCACGGTGGACCGCCGGAGAGCCGCCACTATGAGGGAGCCCCGCAGGCTGAAGAAGGTGAACCATGCGTTTGAGGCACTACGGCGCTGCACCTCGGCGAACCCCAGTCAGCGTCTTCCCAAAGTGGAGATCCTGAGGAACGCCATCCAGTACATCGAAAGCCTTCAGGAGCTCCTCAGGGAACAGGTGGAGAACTACTACAGCCTGCCTATGGAAAGCAGCTCTGAGCCGGCCAGCCCCTCCTCAAGCTGTTCTGAAAGCATGGTAAATATTACTTTCTTACTCTTCAAGTCAAACTGTGGGGTTTAGATTGATTGACATCATACTGAAGATCTGTCAAAACTGAAATACTCCCATTTCCTCTTCTAGAGGGAGATTTTGAAAGGTCAGGGCCCAAATGCATGGAAAAAATCCATTTGAATGTGGATCTTATTGTAAGGTCCTTGTCCTTGTCTGGCTATGTTTTCGTCTTCATGTTTTATCTCAATAGCACACAGAGCATTCTATCCATCAAATGGAGTCAGTGATGCCTCAGTCTCAGCATGACAACAATAAATTGCTGCCCACATCTGGCTCTTTTTATACGCTAAGATATAAGCTTACTGCTGTTTGCCAGGGAACGTCTACAGTATATGTGGCACATTTTAACATATAGGGTTGATTTTGGGCTAAAAAAATGAATAGAGTTTATTAAATAATCTTAGTTGTGTCTGTTTCAATGCTTAGTCCACCTGAAATATGCTATATATGTATTGAAGACACCCAAATTGTCACTGTTTACTATGAGTTTGCTTCTCAAAACATGTTCGCTAATGACACTATGATCATGATTTACATAAATTTGGACATATTCTTTGATTCGGACCAAAATCTGCGTAGTTTTGCTAATTTAGCTCGGTGCTAATCATTTGTTGGCCAAGGAGGTCTTCTAGACTCAATTGTTCTGAATTAGCTATGATACAAATAGTAATTGAGATGTTACCACATCAAGCACATTTTTAGGTTAACTGACAAAACATTTTTGTTTATTAACTTTTATGTAACCAGGAAAAAGTCTCACTCGGATTAAAATCTCTATTGCAAGATTGACATTGACATTTATATTAGAGACTTTGAACCATTTGTTGACAAGGACAAGACTTCAAGATGTAAATGTTCTGAGTGAGTTAGTTTGCAAACCTTTAATGAGGTAGAACATTCATTGGGATTAAAATGTCTTTTACAAGTGTGACCTGGCTAAGAAGGCTATAGAAGTCAAACAGCAATTCTGCAAACAATGTGAGATGTTGGTTCCTACAAAATCTCAGTACAGGGGTTAAGAATGGAGGATATAGTAATGGCTTTCCCACTGGACTCTTTATAGCCTAATAAAGCCTCAGTAAATCCAGCCAACAGAGACTGGCAGGAAAGTGACGGCCGTGCCGCATTCCTGACTGACTGCATGAGCTGCGCTGCTGCCAGGATTTTCTGCAGATTTACTCAGAGAAAGTGTCATCTTGCACAAACTGGTGTGGCTTCCACTGACTCAATCAATTCGCTACGCCTGAAGCCCAGCATAGCGTGGGAGTCCCTCGCGAAGTAACCAGCGTGTGAAAGAAAGAGATACAGTGAAGTGCACAGACTATGCAGTGCAGCACAAGTTGTGGAAGAGGAAGCAACCAATCCATGTCACATATATATATGATGTTTAATGCTTTATATTTATGTATGCTGATGGAACTTTTTGTGTTTTTCACTTTAGGTTGACTGCAATAGTCCTGTATGGCCTCAAATGAATCCAAACTTTGGGAACAACTACAACTTTGAAGCACAAAATGGTAAGAAACAAGATCATTTTTCTGTTTTTAAATTTCTTTGTGTCACATAGTGCTTGTCATTAATTATGCCATTTCCTCTTTCTTCATTACTCCAGCTTGCGCAGTGGACAGAACTCTAGGAGCGTCGAGTTTGCAGTGTCTGTCCAGCATCGTGGACAGGCTGTCTTCTGTAGATACGGGAGTTGCAGTGGGAATGAGGAACATGGTTGCTCTCTCTCCAACTGGAAGTGATTCCCAGTGCAGTTCTCCAGACAGTCCCAGCAACAGACCAGTCTACCACGTCCTGTGAGAGGGAGGGAGCGAGACACTCCAGCCTGGATATCTGCTTCCACAGAACGCTCTGCAGAATCTGAATGCCTGCTATTCACATTGCATGTTCATTTATGAAGTATTTTGGAGGATTTGATAATGCTTTCATATACCAATAAGAATGTAGCAATTACAAACCTCCATACAGCACAATGACAAAGATTTGCCCTCAAACTCACAGCTGAAAATGCAAAACAAATCTTTAGTTTTTTCTAGGCTTGGTTATAATACATGCTTTAAAAAAGCCGTACTATCCATAAAAAATATGTCATTGTATAGACAGTGGATCTTTTTACCATGTTGACTGACTGTACAGCTGAACTACATTGAAATTGGTTTTATTTATCAATAATAATCGTTGAGGTACTTAGTACTACAGGTAATGCTGTTTTGTAATATTAGCCAACTTAATGTTATCCACGACCTACCATTCTCTGTGTTGTAAATAAGATTGTACATAATTTAAATGACTGTTATTGTATTCGTGTAATGTTGTTTCTGTCATATTTAATGAACATTCTTGCATAAAATGACTTTTTCATCAATAATACATTTCAAAAAGTTGTATTTAATGATCCCATTTGTCAAAATTAAATCCGCGGGTGCTTTTTGAAATGCGTCTCTCGGTAAATATTGACAGCAGCTTGGTCCCAATCATACGCCATTTGTCAGCTGCTAGAAGGAGGACAGTTGATAGTGTGATGAGTTGGATGTTGAAAAAGAGAGAGAAAGAGGAAATGAGCTATGTGTGCCTGTTTGCTTAATGTAACAAATGTTACACATCATTCACACCTTCTTATTACCATTGTCATGAACAAATGGCCACATGCTGACACTTCAAGGTGCTGCTTGTGTGTGTGTGTGTGTGTGTATAAAAGAGAACATTTGCACACAAGAACATTAGTTGCATTAGTTTAGTTTCATTTAAAGCTCACAATATTTAGTGGGATAAGATGTTTCAGGGGTTCATCTACGCAAACTATGCAATAGTCTCAATATATATTTATTTGCCCATCATATACAGTATGATTAAATGTCAAACTTAATCTAATTTAATGCTATTAAACTATAAGTACTCAGAGACTGAAATACATTACACTTAAATAATTAATTAAAAAACAAATATTTATAATGTGAATTTTTGCATTTTATCTGTATGCTATTGCTATTCAGTAAAAAAAACCATCATGAAAAACAACAAAATTCTCAGACTTCAATAGTGACATAAAATGATATGTAAATGAACTGTAAAATAGGGAAAATACATCTTTAACTTTAAATTCCAGAGAGATGATTTTTAAATCTGTGAAAAGTAAATTAAATTAAATTTAATTAAAACTAGTCAAATACAACAGTAGATTAAATCTATCCCTCATCCTCATTTATATGAAATGTGTTATATGGTTATATGGCAAATATGAGTGTAATACGCATTAAGCTGTTAGCAGTAACATTTTTCGATCATTTCAACCATTCCTGCTCGCTTCTTCTTTTATTTATGCTCTTGTTAGTGAATCAAATAGAGAAACACTTAACCTTGAAGTAAAAAAATACCTACAACCCTCATTAAAGTAGTTACTTTCACATTTTAAAAGGTGCCTATTCAGACGTGGAGCCAATTTTGCTCTTGTAAAGAGATTCAGTAATGTATTAGAAGATCTTTCACTGAGAGTCTTTCAAACGCTTTAAGTACAGTAGATTCAATTTCAGTAAGCAATCCTGTCGCCCACCTGGCTATAACTCCGAATGCAATGCAGGAAATATCCATGGCTAAAGCACTACTATAATCCATTAAATGACTCATATATTGGATTTATTATTAACCCTTTAAAAGGTTTGAACCTCCATGGATTGAATAGCATAGTATGCTCTGACTGCACATGTTAAAGGCTTTTCACTGTAGGCCATAAAAGGAGACTTTTTTTTCACTTTTTTACTTCTTTTTTATTTCTTTGAACATTTCTTATAGTGTGGATTTAATTGTTAAAGTCATTTACTGTGTTTGCACATATCTTAATGTTTTGACAAAAATATATTGAACATTACACTGTTTCCCAAGGAAAAAGATATAGTCCATTGAACCCGCGTTGACCTTTTTTGACAACAATGCACTAGTAACCTTTGGCCACCAGAGTGCAGTACTTTCTCAGATGCTTTTACAAAGCTATATAACTGACTCCCTGGTAGCCAAAGACCACCTATGTGTTGTCAGCTTTCAATATCTCATGCTTTAGATATCAAAACGCTGTATTAAATATAGTTTGTAGGGAAGAAAACTTTTTAAATTAAGATTTCCTTTTATCAATATATTAGTGTGGCATCTGTTAAGTAGTGATAAGCAGATATCAACAGGTTATCTGAAGCAGTAATTCTTCACCTGTTCTTGAGTTGATGAGTAAGCCTAGCCTATATATCACTTATTTTACAGATACATTCTGTGGTAACAATCTAAATTTTTTTCTAAAAGAGAGAAAAAAATAGTAATCTGCCCCCGTGACATAGGGCTAATTGGGTACAACAAAGAAAAAATGTTTAATTATATGTACACAAAACAGCTATTCCAAGATCAGTTCCAGATTGTCAATCTGTGCATTAGTGGTAGAGATTTTCAGAGACAATTTCTGCAGGTTACAACGTTACGACAGTAGGTGGAGACGATTGGTAGGACCGAGTCATTGAATCACTCAAATAAATGATTCGTTTTAAAACGACTCATTCATGCTCGGACTCGGAGACTCAATGCCGGTTGATTTTGCTTTTGGCTGTCTTTGTTGGCACAGAAAACTTGTGACAATAATTGTGTCTAAAATTTAATTTTCTCTAAACTTATTATTTATTGAACTATTGTAGAAAAGCATTACCATTTTTTGATATATCACATTCATATAAGCAGGACATTATATGTGGCCGTTGAAATCCGAATGCCATGTAATGTACTCAAAAATTTACTCAGAAATAAGCTGTTAAAAGATTGTTGTAGGAAAAAAGTGTCAACTTGTATTTGTTTGTAAATTACCTCCGTGCTCCAAATGAATCGTGTTCGGTTCTGTTGCTTATGCCGAGTTCACACTGCACGATGGTTCTCCTGGTACAATTCACATTCCAGGGCCTAAATATCACGTTATTGGGGTCGCTTCAACCTGCAGACATAAAAAACAACCGGCGGCAATCGCGGATTTGGCAGTGGCGCCTGCAGGTGTACGGCTGTACGCACTGTGCGTACCATGAGCGCTCACACTGACCTGAGATTTGCCCTGCAAACATTTAAGCAGTTATTAAAGGCCTGTGTGTCCCGTATTTCTGTCAACTGAACCAGCCATGCCATTAATTATGAATTTATCAGTCTTTTGCATGCCAAAGTCAATTTCTGCATATAAATATTAATTAAAGAAAATCGTCCTATAGGCTATGCACTTTCATGAGATCGGGTTATGCCGAGTTCACACTGCACGATTTTCAAAGACGTCGCATCACTGTTGGTTTCACACTGAACGACTATCTGGGGTAGCATTCAGTTGTTGCTGTGTTCACACTGCACGATGGAACGACGACAGGAGGTTACACACTGCATGACTTTACAATAGGGAGAATCACCGATAAC